CTAACAAGTGTACTCACAATTTCAGTAGCTTTGGTTCATTATCAACAGATATGCATCAGAATTGGAGTTTTGTTTAAGTTCTAGGAAATAAAAAAATAAAAAATAGGGAGAATATAGAAAGGTTAGAAAATAAGATTGACCTCCTTTGTACAATGTTTTTGTGTAGACACAAATCTCCCGTTTTCATGTTAAAGGTTTCCCAAAGAAAAAGATGTGAGGAAGAGGTGAGGAGGATTTTTTTTATTTGAGGAGGATTCATCTGAGCAGTGAGGATTTTGATAAAACTGATCAGATTGTCCCACTGAGAGATGGTGTGGTACCATCGGTTCACCTTCAAAGAGTAGGTGCATCATTATAAGTTCATTAATGTTTGTAAATTTACATATTTTATTGTCAGTCACAAGGTGAGATACCTCCATGTGTTTATATGAACAGGTAACTATAGACTGTAAAGTTCATATTCATGATGCTTTTTCATTTCAGCTTGAAAACTGCAGGACTACAGGAACTCAACAAAAGCTGGAGCTGCTCTGTCTGTGGCCTCTCAGGAACGTGCACGTCACACCCACAACCTCGGCCTAATGATGTGAGTATTTCTATTTTAAACTTTTATTTTTTTCATTTACCCTTTTATTTATACAGGTAGTCTCATTGAGCCACAAGAACTCATTTTCAAGAGAGACCTGTTTAGGGAGCAGATGGTGGGGGTTGAGGGCCTTGCTCAGGGGCCCAGAGTGGGGCGAATGAGGGTGGAGGCAGGTGTGGGCGTTTCACCTTTTCCACACACATTTTGATGTTTACGGTACCAGGAGTTGAACCTGCGACTTTCCGATTGCAAGCCCATCTTCTAACCTCTGTGCCACCACTCCCCCTACAAGCGTAATTGTGTTGAGGGACTAACTGACAAATCCAAGTCCATAATTATGGTTTGGAAGATTTGTAGAGAGAGGCTCAGAAGCAGTTTCATAGACAAGGCAGAGCATGAAAAGCGCTGACTGGTCTTGGAGAGTAGTTTTATCTAAGTTTTGGGTGAGTGGGGCAAACCATGTAAAAGATATTGCTTTTTGTTTCTGAAGAGTGACTGCGTTCGGTAATTTGTTGACGGTCCCTAAGCGAACCATTACGTCTCTGAGTAGGGGCAAGTTGAGCGCACAGAGCACGAATATCCAACGTCCAACGCAAAACTAACTTTACCGCGGTCGTAGACCGGACACTAAATCATGAAGAAAAAACAAAAAAAAAATCATAACACACACAGTTATACTCTGACATTGTTCTGACATTGATTCACAAAATGATTTATATAGAATTTTTTTTTTGCCGGACAAAAAGTGATCGGAGCACGACATCTTCGAGAGCAGATTCTTAGCCAGACTCAACAATGTTCTGCGGTGAGCTCCTCCGATGGAGGTCCTTTACATTTCCTTATTTTTTTAGATTAAGTGAAAACTGCGCTTTTCCCAAATGTCTCCCCGGTTGTAACATCCTCTAACCCAGCGCGAAACAACCATTGCAATTTATTAAAAAAAACAAACAAAAAAAACTAGCTAAAATTAACTACCGGTAAACTGCATTGGCTCTGTACCTGCTGCTAGAGGCAGCCTTCCAACATGGAGGACGTACCGGAAATGCCCCTGATGTTACATCACATGTGAACTATGTATTGTGGCTGCTACCTGTCACAAGCAGCCGCTCCACCTGGAGAGACGCAGGAAGGAGGAGGAGAGCGCGTGGGTAGGAGCTGGGTTTGTACAGTGAGAGGAGGGGGGACATGTGGGAGAAGAAAGAAGAGCCGGCAGATTTTCAAGTAGAACTATATCGTATATAGCGAAATAATGTCAATTTATATCGCAAATAAAATTATATCAATATTTTTAAAATATCAAGATATCGCCCAGCCCTAGCTGGGGCCCTGTTATAAAACAGATAGTTTCATTAATAAACTTTCTTAAATGGTACAGTTGCTGTTTGCAATTAATGTGTGAAAAAATATTGCTGGATTGTGATTCCAAATGAAACTGTAAGAGTGATTTCTATGGCAGGTGTTTTAATTTCAGGTTTCAGTTGGAGGGTGGTTGATCATTTCTAGTATATAAACAAAGGATGTGAAAATATGAGGTAGGACCCTGATACATGATGATTCAACAGCAGCCTGGAGAAGACAGAATTATTTTGTAAAACTTTATAACAAAAGCAACAAAGTCCATGCTCAATAATCCAGGTATACAATCCAACAATTTTCAGTCAGGTCATCTGACCTGACTGAAAATTGTTGGATTATAACAAAACCAAACAAAACAATAAACAAAATAATAAAACCACGTTAGTCAGGTGGATTGCACATATAAAGTTCAAATAAATCAATCAACACTCAGTCAGATAGATATTGTGGACTGTCCAGGTCAGTCAAAGCCTTCTCCCAGTGGATACTGTGGGTCAGCTGCATGTCTGAATTGTCAAAAATAATAGCTTCATTCAAATCATCAACAAGTCTGCTAGATCCCATCCCAAACCAGACAGTTTAAAGAGGTATTTCCCCTCATTAATATCCCCATTCTGGATCTGCTTATTTTGTCTCTAATGAATGGTTACATACCACAGTGTTTTAAGTTTGCTGTAATTAAACCTTTACTTAAGAAACCTATTCTTGATGCAGGAATTCTGGCCAATTATACATCTATATTTAATCTAACATTCATCTAAAATATTCTAGAGAAAATACAACAAAGTTAAGTCAAGTCCTCTGGACGGTTTCTTTTTTTGTTGAAATGTTTTGTCTTTCATCCAAAAGACTTCATCAGTCCGAGGAGCCACAACTAACTAAGTCTTATTAGTAGCAGACTCACATAGTGGGCCAACCACATTGATGGAGATAAGGTGGTTTCTGGAGTCCACCCTCTCCCCCGCCGACTCATCCAAGGCAGTCATGGCCAAAGTGGTTCAAAACATCAAAGCTCATGCATATAATTATTATAATGTTAATACTAAAATGGAATACTTGTAAAATTACTTATTTAGTACTAATTACCATTTTCATTACACGTTAATATCGACACACAAAAAAAGAAAACGTTACACACTCACACCTAGCATTTGAGCTTCTTGACTGCGTGTGGAAAAATGACACTTGACATCAGAATTATTGAAAAAAAAACACTCATGCCTTAACTGTGACTTTCAAATCTTGCAATTTATCACTACTTGGCTTGTCATATTAGCAACTCATTGTTCTTGGCAGATCGTGATAATAATGACTGGAAAACATTTCCACACAGCTGATTTGAAATTAACATGTTTTCCATTCTTTGCTTTGGAGTGCTTTAGATGATACATTTTTCTACTTTTTATCACAGAAGTTAGCAAAATGCAGTTAACATCTACCTAGATGCATGATCTGGGAGTCAGGTACAAAAAAATTTACCATTACACTTCCAATACACTTCCAATAGAAACGCCCATCATTTTCTTAAACACTTAATTCTGTGCAGGAAGCAAGGAAAACCTGGACAGGTCACAAATGTTTCACCAGGCCACATAGAAAAATGCGACAACTACCAATTCAACTTTTCCTTCATGTCTACAGCAAAATTTGTTATTAATTTACCTAACATACATGGTTTTTTAGACTGTTGGGAAAAACCAATGGACCAAGAGAAAACCCATGCACTCACAAGTAGAGCATGTATTACTGCAAGTAAAAACTTCAATTATGAAAAAACAATTTTCTACACCAAATATACTATTTAACAACAAACACTGAAGTTGGGCAGTTTAAAATGAGTGAGAACACCTAAGTTTCTTTAGGAGCTGTCACAATATTTACAACTAAACTGTTTTTTCTTCCTGTGTGGACTTTCCTGTGTTTGTTTAAATGAGACACTTGTCTGAACATTTGTCCACAAACATCGCAGGCAAATGGTTTCTGTCCTGTGTGGATTCTCATGTGTTTGTTTAAAGT